ACCAAATTCACCTTCAAACCTGCACAAAAACACTGAAATCAAGCATAAACCTGTCCAACTCTCTTATTTCTAAAAATATACAGAAAAACATGATTTTAAGCTATTTTCTATGTGTTAAGGTTTCTTTTAGTGTCAATTTTAATCATGAAAATAACAGTTTTTCAACTGTTATCAGTAGTGTAGGCCGAGTATAAGGGGTCCTCCTCTGACCTGAAGCGTTCTTGTAAATAATTGGTCCTCTGGCCGTCTGCTGTTGCTTCTTATACTGTTCGACCTCCAGAATATTCTTCTCCAATACTTTAGCCCTTTCCACCATGGCAGGAAAAGACTTAATGCACAAACTTGAGATCAATAGCTTCAAATCACTTCTCAACCCATTCTCAAACTTTCGGGACCGCCACTCCTCACTTGTAGTCATAGTGTTAAACCAAACCAAGTGTTTAAACTTATTGGTATACTCAGATACCGACATCCCTTCCTGCTTCATCTGAAGAAATTCAACTTCCTTAGCGAATCGAACGCTGTCTGGGAAGTATTCTTCATAAAATTTGATTCTGAAAACTTCCCAAGAAATGGGAGTTTTGTTGTCCGCTAATATCATCTTCATGCTTGTCCACCAATAACTAGCCTCTCCAGTCAACAAATACTCGGTAAAAGCTAGTCTCTTGTCATCCGGACACCCTTTAGCATTGTAAATCCTCTCCATATCACGCAGCCACTAATCGGCCTCATCAGGAAGGCACTTCCCATTGAACTTGGCTGGGTGATGTTGGAGAAAACTCTCCAAAATCCATTCGGCTTGGTGATTTGTTGAGGACGAGGACGGTCCAGCTGTTGAAGTAGACGGTCCGACAGTGTTTCTAGTAGCTGACAGTATTTCCATTAACTGGCTTTTGAGTTACTTCAGCGTTCGCTCTAGCAGCCTCTAAGCTCTGTAAAGCCACCGTATTTTGCTGTACTAGAGCACCGTTTTGTTGTTGCAGAGCCTCTACCATTGACTCTAGCAATCTGGCGTTATCAGAGGTCATTCGATCGATAGGTTGAGTAGGAGGTCTAGGAGCCATCTCTTCTCTGATAAGCAGAGAAAAAGAAAACCATAAGATCAATTTAAAGAGTCAGAAACTACATAACCGAACACTGAGTACACAACAAAAGCATAGCATACTCATAACCTACAAAATTTCTAAGGAACAAAACTGCTCTGATACCATTAATGTAACATCCCAAAAATACAGTGTAAAACCATACAATAGAATAATCACATATAATAATATTACAGCTCAGTCTTTCGAAAGAGATTCAGTACATATACGACCGAACGACCTTACAATATAACGGGGAGTTAAAACTGCACACTAGCTACAACTAGGCCGAACAGTTTTCAAAAGAACTATACCGAACGATCCTACAAAAGAAGTAGCCAAAAGATTATCGAATGGTCATACAAAGAAAACCAACCGCTGACCGAACGGTTCTACTGTTCGGTCTTAACTTCCACCTCGACCAGATTCTCTTCCAGTGCTTCTTCCAGCAACTCTTTTCCTTCTGCTTACATCCACACGGATGATCATTCCAACAGGACAAACGACCGAACGTACAAAATGGACAAGACAGGAAATGGGGTAAGCTTATGTAATTTAATTCAAGTATCAACATATATTTCACACAAATCAATTAAACAGATAAATCATCCACTCTTGCATGCAAAGCCTAATACTAGACTCTGATTGTCCGGACTGTATGAATTCTGTGTAGCTACGACGTTCGTGCACTCGGGTGATGTAGTAACTGGGATACCCTCAACAGTTTCCACCCGAGGTTAGTCCTTTTTGTCCAAATTAACCATAAGGACTAGGACCTCCTTCCATTCCCACACATGACTTACCCTTCTCTACGTGAGAAACGAGTAATCACGGAATATCAGGATGAACCGCCAGCTTAGCTTTATCCACATTCATACCTTACCAAAATTCAATATTCATTCATGAGACATTCTTCCCCGGAATACTCTTTCATATTCATACTCATTTCATCTACATCATATTCCATCATCTTTCATTTTCAAAATCTTAAGCCGAACCAATTTGAATACAAATCCCATAGGATACCAAATACCGAACGTTAATCTTCAACATAGACAAGACCGAATACTTAGAGTGAGATTGAGAGGTCTCTAGTTGCAAACAAATCAAAATCAAGAGAGTTACTAACGGGGTTGTGAAAGAGACCGATTACAATACTACCTCTCAAAGAATAATAGAATCGAACGTTATTTACAAGGTGAGTCAATTTAATGAACTGACTCATGAGAATTTAGACCGAATGCCAATAAGCTTAGGCCGAGTACTAAGACTCTAGGCCGAACACCATTAGAAACTGACACTGTAGGACATCAAATAATGATAATTAACAGAAGTATATGAAGAAACCGACCGCTATAAATATTTAGGTTATTTATGAGTTTATCATTAAGGAAAACGAGTGCTAGTCGAATACCGAGCACTGTAGAGACCGAACGCTATTGGTTTTGGTCGAATGCTCTTATTTTAAAAATCATATTATTGATTCAAGGTCGAGCTCTTGGTTTAAGACCGAGCAACATTTAGTACGAGCGCTTGGTATGAGATCGTGCACTACTTAGTACGAGCGCTTGGTGTAAGACTGAGCACTACTTAGTACGAGCGCTTGGTGTAAGATTGAGCACTACTTAGTACGAGCGCTTGGTGTAAGACCGAGCACCACTAACTTATAGAATAAAGGTTTGATAAATATAAAATATCATTTAACTAGTGTTCAAGAACGAACGAAATATACAAATACATATAGATATACTGAAGTTTATAACCAAATACCAAGGAACGAATATCCTTGGTTGAATGCTTAAGTACAATTATTACAAAACGAAGACACGCGGTCCTTAACTGGAATTCCATCCAAATGAAAGAATCCAGTTCCAACCGAGTCCACAAGAAAACCGAACGGTCAATGACCTTCAGTGACGAACATCAATTTTCACTTAGAAATGCAGACTTGGAGTTCATACTCTTATTAATACCTTCCTCAACATTTATCTTCATACATTTATATAGTCAACAATGCAGTAATAACCATATTTCATATTCATTCAGCAATCAACGAACATGCATCCATTCAAAGCAAGAAACTAAATCAAATTATATAAGCTTCCCTTACATCTAAACGTGACGGAATGTTCACAGTTGCAGAATAGGGTTCACCTCTATCAGAGACCTTAGCGTTCTACAGTCACGCCTTAAGAAACTAAACCAAACAACAATAAAAAAACTCTCAGAACAAGATGATTGACTCATGCAACCCATAAACTAGGTTTGCATGTACCATGAAACCAACTGGCTGAGTGAAGAGAGAACTTACCAACTCAGAACCCGAAACTGATCGGTTCAAATGGACGCCCTCGACGTCGGAAATGCTCAAGTGTGGTCTGTTTGATGATCGGAAGAAGAAAAAAGTAAGATTTTGTAGAGGGAAGATGAAGAAATCCAGAGAGAAGGAGGAGAAAATGGAGTTCAGAACTTTGGGGAAGAAGGGTGAATGCAGAAGTGGCGTTAACTTTTGAAAACCCAGAATTTTACTCCTACCTTCAAAACCGAACGGCCAACCTCCTGCTGTCACCTGTTTTCCACTCTCTGATTTCCAGATCTCTTCCTTGACATTTGACTTCCACTCAAATGAGGTTTTTAATGAGTTTTAAATGGGTTCTGACAGTATCTATTATTAGAAATTATAACTAATTTTAATTTTAGTTTGTGGTGATATTTGTACTATTTTCTCAGTTGAGACATATAGATATTATAATTGTAAATTTTTTATTTTTAATATTTAATAAAATTTATTCACGAAATTCAAATAATGGTATGATAGTTAATGTATTGTTCAACAAATAATTTAGCATAGTTTAATTATATTTTCACCAACTTTCACAATTGTGATCCTCAAAAAAGATAAAAAGATATAATCAAGTCAGATTAATTTCTCGTTAGGCTGTTTTTATTCTTTCTTTTAAAAAAGTATATTAATATATAAGTCAAATAACATGTTAATGGTCATATTACTAAAATAGCACATATAAATCTGTTATGCATATATTATACACGAAATATCTTATAATATAGTGGATACTATGGCTATATTAACACAAATTATGTTATATTATATAATACTTTATTTGGTTTGCTATTTGTGTGTATTAAATATTTAATAGGATTAATACAAAGGTTAGAATATTTTTTAGGGTGTTTTTATTCTAACAAAAAAAATATTAAATATTTATTTTTGGTTAGAATATTTAATAGGATTAATCCCCAATTATAAAATCATATTTACCCTAAAACTGATTCAAAGTACATACTCCATCTAAAGAACTGTGTGAGCTGCTAAAGAACATTTTTATTTATTTATTTGGTGTTAATGTTGGTGTGATGTTTATGTTACAAAGAATTTGTGTGTTAGGATGAGGTGTGTGTATATGCTTAACGGCCAAACCGAAAAAAGCTGGCTCATTATTGTGAGTTGTGACAGTCATTGAGCATAAGAAGTATCGCCTCCTTTCACTTAGGTGTTTGGCCTTTTCCTTCTTTGAACAACAAAACCCCAATCTCTTCCTTTGCCTTTCACTCCCGCAACAAACCAACAACAACTACTCCTTTTCTCTTCTCTATTTTCCTCTCTTTCATTGGCGATCTCAACGAAGCTCTTCCACTCAAACACACCCCTTAATTATATCGCATTCTCTTACTTACCATTAGATTGGACTTTCTCCTCTCCCTCTTTTTCTGGATCTTCAATCTCTCCCTTGTAATTTTTCTAGAAAACTTCCTTCTTTTTCTCCTACAAAGTAGTGTTGCTTTCCTCAATTCCAGGAGCTTATTAAATGCTTTGTGAATGAATGATTGTGGTTTCTGTTTATTGTGGAGACTTGAAAATCTTGCTCAATGCTGCTTGGATTTTGTAAAAATGGAGCTTAGTTGAGTAACTCAAACGGGTTCATGACAAGATTTGTTTTTTTTTTCTTTGCTTTTCTTTGGATCGAGATAAAGCTTTTGTCTTCTTTCACTCTTTTTTTCGAATTCCCTTTCTGGGTCTTGTTGATTTTGTCTTGTTCTTTCTTTGTTGAGTGTTGGTTTTTGTGATCTTATTCTGAGTTTCTCGTATTATTGCTATTATTTTAGATTTTTCGGATTTGGGGGATCGAGTTTGAAGGGGGAAATGGCTGCTTCTTCTGCGTCTCTCGCTGGTGCTTCTGCTTCTCTCGCTGGTGCTTCTGCTTCGGACCTTTTGAGAAGTTCAACCAGCGGTTTCAATGGTGTTCCTTTGAGAAGCTTGGGCAAGGGAAGGTTGGTTGTAAAGAGTAGGGATTTTAGTGTTGCTGCCAAGCTGAGGAAGGTGAAGAAATATGACTATCCTTGGCCTGCTAATCCTGATCCCAATGTGAAAGGTGGGTTGCTGACCCACCTTTCCTATTTCAAGCCACTCAAGGAAAAGCCAAAGCCTGCCACTTTGGATTTTGAAAAGCCTCTTGTTGATCTACAAAAGAAGATCTTTGATGTAACTCCTAATTTAATCTTTTTGTGTCTGTGTGTGTGTTGCTGAGTGCTTTGTTTGCTTGAGTGAGGGTTAATTTGTAGTAATTTTCTGATTCATGGAGGTTGTGCTGAATGAAAATGGCTA